GGTCTTATCAACCAATAGCAGTCAGAGATCAGTATTTCCAACTCTTCTCCGAGTCTTCAGAAAATCTGTTATGTTCCCTGGCCTTCTAACCTGATCACCATGCCATAGCCAGGAAAGGATTTTAAATCCAACCAATCAAGAAATTTATATCAAGTGTCTACTTGTATGCCCGGTGTCGTACTATATATAACAGGTGACATATACTGAAATATGGTAGTTGATCTTTTCCCTTAAGGTACTAATAATCTTCCTGTGAGGATAAAGCCAACGCACAGGAAGCAAGTAGAGAATTACATGGTAATGGCTGCCAAAGCTCAGAGAAGTTACTATTTATTCAGCACCTATTATATTTCAGGTACTCTTTTAAATGTCTAAAAACGGTGCTTCCTTTAGTTGTTGAGCAATGATGAGGTGCTATTATTATGTCCGTTTTACAAATGGTACCTCAGAGAGGCTAAGTAACTTGTGTCCAAGGTCACACAGCCAGTAAGTAGCAGAGTAGAAATCTAGGTTCCTGCTCCATATGACTGCAAAGCTTTCACTCTCCCATCTCTCTGATCAAGAAATAGAGCCAAGTGGGCTGAAATAGCAAGGAGGCCTCATGGAGCAGGTGGGAACTGACCTAAGTTTCAAAGGGAGGGTATGAGATAGAAAACCCAGGGGAGTGAGAGCAGGAGGGTATTCTAAACAGAAGGAGGAGTCTGAGTCAAGCACAGAGGCATGACTGTGAAGTCTGCTTGCTGGTGGACCTGCTGGACAGGAGCAGAGGTTTCATGGTTGGGCAGAGGAGATTAAGTCAGGAAGGCAGGGTGGGGCCAAGTGACACCACACAGTGGCAACTCCCAACAGCAGCTTCCTCCACAAGGAGGAAGAGGCTGCTGTGTAGCCTATCTGTGCCCTTCCTAACACTCCACCCCCAAACTCAGGTAATCCACTCCAGAGAGCCACACAACCTTGGGCTTTCTGCTCCCATTCTAAACATCCTTCCCTATCTGAAGTGTTGCCTCCAAAGCCACTGTCCCCAGACACTGGGAAGCTAGTTTCTCTTCTCCAGACTGTATCTGCTCTCATAGCTACGAAACAGCTTTTTTGCATGTAACATCCCTTTTGTAAACCTCTTCTTCCCTTTTAGTTTTAACCTTTTCCAAAGCAGGAACTAAATCTTGTTTCTAATTATTAGTCCTTAATTGCCTCCCTTCCACTGGATTCCACAAGCAGATAGGTGATGATGCCATAGGTATGTTTACTTACATATACGTTCTGAATTTGTGATAACAGGGTCACAGCCTTCATGACTAATATTTCTGGAGGCCTTCAACTGGAGACTCCTAAGTATTCATATCAGTTTGGCATTTGAGGAGAATGTACCTGCATTTCCTAGGAAATCCCGAGGATGGTCAACACTGAGTAACTCAATTTGAACCCCTTTCCCAAGAAAACTCACCCTGTCTACTGGAAATAGTTCAGCGCTGTGGCCACAGCTTGGTGAACACTCCTAGTAAGGAAACCTCAAGGAGGCAATGAAAAGCAGTTCTGGCTACAATGGAAAATAAGGCAAGTTCCTGCCAAGTGACTACTTTGCAAACAGTAAAAACGGAACTTGTGAACTCATGACCGGGGGCTCTCGGTGCATCTCGGAAGGTCTCACAGAACCCGAAATGGAAGGGCCAACATTAGTCTCTKGGGAGAAAAGCGTCCCTTTAAGAAGCGACTGGACCAGCTGGCTGCACTACAGCTCCCAGAGATTTCCTGGCCTGCATCCTGGCCCCGCCCCCCAGTCTCCGGCCTCAGCAACGCGTGACGTCATACGAGAGTGAGGCTGCGGATTGGCTGGACGACGCAGCTAGGTCAAGTCCAGTCGGAGGAAAGAAGTTTGTCTCCATGTGGAAACCATGTGTCTCGAGCTGGGAGGGGGGAGGAGGAGGAGGCGGAGAAACTGAGATCAAGTGATTACAGGGGAACTCGCTGAAATGAAGGCGGAGAGGTTGTGCACCTGAGCCGGCCAGCAATGCCCTTTGCAGTAGTGACCTATAAAGAAGATGCACAACAAACAAAACCCGAGCACCCCCCACACCATCTTACTAACTAAAGAGCTAGGGTCCTTGCTTCCTTCCAAAAACTAGGGACCTGGGAATTGCTGGAATCCTATCGGAACGCCTAGATCCCTCTCCCTCCCCCAACAACTGAATGATGTAAGCGTTTCGGAAAGCAGAGCTCTGGAGCAAAACAAGCCCCGCGCGCGCGGAGCGACCCGCAGTGCCCGAGCCCGGCGCACGCACGACCCGCCCCCCGACTCGCGTTATTGCTGTGCACACGCGGACCGCCGTGACGCGCGGGCATTGTGTGCAGCCAGCAGAAAACAACGGCGAGCGCCGCCAGCGCGAAGAAGCGCCCCCAATAAAACGAGATAGATGTAGGGCCCGCCGTTTTCCGTACCGGGAGACCAAGACCTGGGGGCGGGGGGAGAGTGGGGAGGGAGGATAAGTGGCCCCCGTGGGCAGCTCCAGTTTGCCGCGGGGATAATAGAGGGTCCTGCGGGTGGTCGCTGGAGTTTGCTGGACATCACCCCCCCCCCGTCTCCGTGAGCTGTTGGGGAGCGGGCGAGGGCCTGGAGCCGGGCCCCTGCAGCGGAGCCCAACACGGTGCAGCGCCCCACGCTCTCGGGGAAATCTGGGGGCCGTTGGCATCACGTCATTTACAGCCAAACAGCGGTGGCGAAAAGAGCCGAGAGAGCTAAAAATACTCCCTTGGGGAGCCTGCCGAAGGAGGGGGGCTGCGGGGCCGAGGGGCTGATTACGTACACGAAGTTGACTTTGACTGGGGCGCTAAGGCTCCCGAGCCCCTCTGGGGGGCTGGCAGGTTTGCAGCGCTGGTGCTTCGGGAGAGGGGCCGGGAGAAAGCCCCTTGGCTTCACCGGCCTCTAGAGCCCCGCTCGACCGCCGCGGGCCCTCCCCACACGGGGCAGCCCGGCCCGGCGCGCCCGGCTTTCTGCTTACGTGACTGGTGGCCACGCCGGAGCCCCGGCACCGGGTAAACAAGGAGGTGGCGGCGGCGAGGGCGGCGGGGGGGTGGGGTGGGGCGGAGGGAGGTCTCCGATTGTCTGCGGGTGCGAAAGGGGGGGGGGGCGGGACGCTGAGGAAGCTCTGGCCGCCTCCTCATTACGCCTCGCTGGGGTATGTTGGGGGGCAAGCCAGGTTCGCTACACACTGCCAAGGTGCCCTCTTTGGGTGCACTCCCAGTCAGGGCCGGCGCCACGGGACAGACTCCAGAGACCGGGAACCCGGGAGGGGACGGCTAAAGAAATCGCGCCCCTCCCCSTGCAACAAAAGCAAACACACCAAACAAAACCACGTCTTCACCCAGCTCCCCATCAGCTCTCGCTTTTCAGAAACTATCCTCCAGATGAATGCACCCCCCCCCAACACACACACACACACACATACACCCTTAATAATCTCCCAGCGACTCGGTTACACAGCCTGCGATGCACCTCTCTCGCAACCCAAGCATTCCGAGAAAACAGGCGAGAAGAGAAAGAAAAGAACGCACCACCGACCTCCCAACACAAAAATCCTTGTTTTGGTCTTACAACGTCTGCACAAATGCACTGCCATCACACCGTTACTATACCCCTGAAGGCCTGGAGTGTGGGTCAGCGATGATGTTTTTGTATTTGAGGGTTGTTGTTGTGTTGGGCTGGGGGGGGGGTGCAAGATCTGACACGTTGCAATCGGATTTCTCTCTCTTGCTTGCTCTCTTGCTCGCTCTCTCATGTCTCATTGGTCATCCTACTTGTTCGGACAGATTAAACATCCCAGTTTCCTTCTGTCTGTCGTTCTGTCTGTCTTGGCCCCTTCTTCCTTTTCCTAGCTATTATTCTGAGGACGGTGTTGGAGACGCCGCACACGCGTGCCCCCGTAAGGGCTGTGAGTCTACTGCCTGGGGAGAGCTGGGGAYCCGCTGGCAGTGACAAAAAATGAAACAAACAAATACAAAAAGGAAGCCAGGCCTGGGTGGAGTTCTCAGCACCCCCCCRCAACACACCGCAACACTCTCCACCTGAATCTGGGGGTCGGGGGACAGTAGAAATCAACCCTGGAAGGGGTTTGCCTTGCTCGCTCTGCGCGCTCACTCGGGAGTTCTCTCCCGAAAAATAAAGAAATCGCACACAACAGCCCACACCTTCTTCCCCAACTATTGTTTCTGTGAGATTTCAAAGTTTCCTCGTAGCCACGTCTCCCTCGCCAAGTTTCCACAGCGCAGGACAGCGGGTCCGCGGCGAGCTGCTGGTGCTGTCTGGCCCCGCCGGCCTGTTTCTTTGGGGGCTGGGGGCAGTGGCACCCCAGGTCAACGGAGGCGCGGGGGGGGGGGCTGTGTCCGTGGACCTGACGGCCTGAGCTCAGTCCTCCTCCGAGTGGGGAGGAAAACCCGAAGTAGACAGAAGGGAGAGCCAGAGCCCGAGCCCACGCCGTGGGTAGCTGCCTGGTGGCAGTGGTGGTGGTGGTGGTTATTGTTTTAGCGTGTCTGTGCGTTTTCTTTCTGGAACCCCTGAGCTTGCTACGGTTTCCAACTTTCGGCTTCTAATCCCCACCCAACCCAGGAACGAGCCACAGAAAAACAACACTTGTCTGCCCAAGAAGGCTCCGAGGAGGTGGGGGGGGTGGGGGGAAGGCGACCTCGAAGAGATGAGCTCTCGGCTCAGTTGTCAGCAAACAACAACACTCCCCCGCTCCGCTACGGGGCTGTCCTCGCAGCCTGCCGGAGACGGACAGACCAACGCACCGACAGGCCCCCCTCTCCCCCTCACTAGTCTTTGTTACATCTTTAGCAGCTTTGTGCGTGCGTGCGTGTCCTTTCTCCGGTGTCACCGGCTTTACTGCCGAGGGTTGATGTGTGTGTTGGGGAGGAGGGGCGCGGGCCGAGCAGGCGACAGGGGTCGCCCAAGTGGGCGAGAAAGAAAGAGCAGGGAGCGGAGGAGGAGCCGGGGCCCCCAAACTTACTTTTGTTTTCTTTCTCGATCTGCTCCAGGTAGCTGGCGGCCTCGAGCAGAATCTGCACGTTCTGCAGAAAAGTGTTGATGTGCTTCTCCATCGAGTTCTCGCTGGTGTTGAAAATGTCCGAGAAGGGGCACCTGGGCTTGGCCCCCGCCGGCTCCTCGGGCTGGGCCGGGGGCTGGGGCGCGGCCACGGCCAGGGGCGCGGCGGGGGCCAGCCCCGCGCCCTCGCASCGCGCCTCCTTGCGCGGCCGCCCGCGTTTGCCCATGGAGGACCGGGGGTCTGCCGAGCTCGTCCTCTTACGGGGCTTCGCGGCCGGGCCGAGCTCTGGGGCCCCAGGGAGACCCGGCCTGCTGAAGCGGAGGAGGCGCCGGGGCGAGGAGCCGGCCTGACTTCCAGAGCCTCGCTGCGTGCAGTTGTGTGTGTGCGTGTGTGTGAGTGTGTCTCTGTCTCGCGCTGTGGGTCTGTGTGTATGGGAGATTGAATGAACCTACAGGACAGACGGAGGCGCTCTGGTGCCTGGGTCCTAGTGCGAGACTGTCACCATCCGACCGGTCAAAATAAAAGGTGGAGACAAGCGAGGCAGGGACCGCCCCCTGCCTGAATCCGCACCCTTCCCCGCCTCTCCCCAAATCTTAGCGCAAGTAGAGCTCTGTATTTTGATGAGAATGGAAAAAATACCTGATATCTCTAGTGCGCACCTGCCTAAAACATTTTTTTCTTCCCAGAAAAAAAAAATAGTATCTCGGGGTCAGGGTTGTGGTTCAGTGGTAGAGTGCTTGCCTAGCATGCACGAGGCACTGGGTTCGATCCTCAGCACCACATAAATGTAAAATAAAGATATTGTGTCCACCTAAAACTAAAAAATAAATATTAAAAAAATAATATCTCCAAAAGCATCCAGCACAGTGCCTGGCACTCAGTAAGTTCCCCCCCAAAATGGTAGCTGCTATGAATTTTTAGATATATTTTTAAATTTATTTATTTTATTTTTAATTAATTAACTTATTTATTTATTTTTTAATTTTTTAAATTATTTTTATTTATTTTTCCTTTTCATTTTGCTGTACTGGGAATCCAGGAACACCCAACTACTGAACTACATTTTTTTTTAACTTTATTTATTTTAATCTCTTTTAGTTGTAGTTGGGCACAATACCTTTATTTTATTTATTTATTTTTATGTGATACTGAGGATCCAACCCAGCACCTTGCACATGCTAGGTGAACATTCTACCGCTGAGCTACAACCCCACCCCACCCCCACTGAGCTACATTTTTATTTTTCATTTTGAGATAGGGTCTTGCTAAATTGCAGAAGCTGGTTCAAACTTGCTTCTGCCTCAGTCTCCCTTGTAGTTGGGATTACATGTTGGCCACATGTAAAAAAAAAACATTCAGTTTTTTTTTCTTTACTTCTTTTTCAATAAAGGCCCAATTCAAATGAGAAGAATTGAATTATATAAACTAAAACTCCTTTCCCCATTCTGCTCTCATAAACACATGCACAGAGGCACCTGTGTCGTGTCTTCACACAGCTAAATGAAATCCCCAGGCCTCCCAAGTCCAGGTTACAGATTTACTCACTCCTTTGCAACCCTTAAAATGCAAAGTTATTTTGCAGGAAAGAGGAGGAGATGTAAGCATCTCTCCAAGTCCTCTGCCTAGCCTCTGTCCAGCTGTGCAAAGCTCACACCCCAGGCCCTCCACACTTGACTCCCTTTTATTTGTCAGAGGGGCACAAAGGCAGACGTAGCAGCCCAGGAACCACCCCTTACCCCTAGTTGAACTCCATCTTTTGGATCTGAAGACCCCTACCTATCCCAGTTGACGTGGTTTCAATGTTGCTGCTGTCAGCAATCATGGATGCTTTTCAGGCCTGAGCATGTAGTAGGAGACACAGGAGTAGAAGAGGGTTGCTCTGGTGTGCTGTTGAGAAGACTCCCAGGTCTGCTTCATGCAGACTGTCTGAACTTTAGCAAATTCCTTTACCCCTCTTGGCCTAAGTTTCCACATCTTTGAAACCTCTGAGAATTTGTTTGTGTGGATTAAATCATATCTGCATTTAGCATACTCAGTTCCATAATACCATCTCTTTCAGTCAGAGCCTGAGTCTCTGACTCTGATGTAACTCAAATGCAGTGAACAAGATTCTTCTACCCCTCTGTGGAAAGCATCCCTATGAAAAATCCATCCAAACACTGTCAACTTGCAAGATCATCTGGAATTTTCTTTCAGGGGAACCACACATGGAGCACACAGAGAATGCTGCCACCTGGAAGTGTTCCATGCCCTCCCCCAACCCCTTTCAGGGGCAGCTTCATGCACATCTGCCACAAAGCCTCTTACTGGAAATGGAAACTTTTTGAAAAAAAAAAAAGGACAGTAAGTACGTTTCTTTGTAAAATATAAAACGTACAGAGTATGTGTACACACACCCTCAAAGAGCCTGCAAAAAAAGCCTTTGTGCACTTCAAAAAAAAAAAAAAAAACCTACTGCTGATATGATAGGAACAATCAGAAACTTTAAAGCCAATGCATTTACATTTTGAACCATATTATAATAATTATACACATACTCTTTGCTCATTTTTTCATGACAAATTTTGCAAAGTTGATCCCTGCATCTTTTGGCTAGGGTGAAGTAGAAGCATCTAAGTGCTATGAGATAAAAGTTCATATTCCATTATCAGCATAATTACTGGCATTTTTTGTTTTGTTTCTGTCAGAACCACAACTTGAACTATCTGTGTTTAAATGTCCACAAATGTCTAAGGACTTTAGGAAGACCTTGTACATAAACAATTTCAAACATGCTTCCTCCAATGCCATTTAGCAAACAAAACAAAATTGATGCATCTGAGCAAAACAACTCTGATCTCCCTTGCCCCGAATGAAAGGTGATAGAAAGACAATGAACCAGCCAGCCCAGAGAAAACCTTGATTTCTCTTTAATTCCCTAGTGGTGGTTTGGGTCACGCATACAGTACTGCAACCCACATGTATGGGCACACCCACCCACCGAGCCAGGCACACTCCACACGTGAGTGCTGAGGCAGGGGAAGGCTGTTTTGTAATTATTTATTTATCCCTGTTCCATCTCTCATAGGTCTGTGAGCTTCAGAAAGCCCAGTGGGAATCTTCAAGCTGGGCTACAGATCTGACCAAAGCCAAAATAAACAATGGCTTGAAGAAAATCTACAAAAAAGTGCTGATTTGCACTATTCCCACAGTCAGCCATGCCCCCCCCCCACCATTCCCATGGAAAACACCACTGCTGGTGCCAAATCAAGTTGTCCCCCCATCATAGGGGCATTGTTTTTTGTTATTATGTGAGTTCTTAGCATCAGACAATGGCACCACAAGAGACACAGTGGAGGCAGGAGAAATGCCTTTTTGTTTCACAAAGTCTTTGCTATTGTACCCCCAGAGTCTTGCATACAGTTTGCTTGCATATATTCATTTTGGTAACATGTATATGGAACGATGAATGTGCCTAGCTAAAGCCTGAAGCCCCTTCTTTATTTTTTTTTCAGAGCCCATCAAGTGTTAAATCATATTAGCATTGCATTGCTCCCTCCTCCTTCCATCCCCCAATTAACAGATTTCTCTAATAAACTTTGGCCCCAGTAGAAAGAGTAGTGTTTCAAGGGTTATATCACGGGACAGGCATCCAGGATGCTGGGTTACAAGCTCAGCTCCATTCCCGATTAGCTTTGCTTCCCAGGAGGAGCCATTCAAACCCTTTGTAACCCCCTTTCTCTGGGGCTTTGATTCCAAAAGTAAACTGGCCTCTTTGGAAACTTGCTGAGAGTATCTGCAGAGAACAGGTAGGGGAGGAGAAGGCAGCCACCCCTATAAGAAGGTGTGTGAATTCTGACAGAAAAGCAAAAATGCCCAGTGAGGTGGCTGGCCCAGATTATCTAGGGTGCCTGTTCAGCCTAGGTCTTATTTTCCCAGCCTTCTATTTATTGGCTTGTTTGTTTGGACTATTTGTTTGTTGGGTAACATTTTTCCATTTGCCTTGTTTGCATTTTAAAACAAGATTGTTCTCTCTTTTATTTACCCCTCTTCCCCCCCAGACATTCTATATTCTTACATCAAAGGAATTGTTTTGCCTGTAATTATGTCTTTTATGTACACAGAGGCTGGTTAATTACTGAGAAGGGGGTGGGAGAGTTGCCTGGAGACCTCCCCACCTTGCATTGGGATGGGATGCTCTTCCCTCCATCATGGACCACTTGGCCCATCCTGGACTCTTTAGCTGTGCTCTTCCTCCCTCTTCCATTCTCCCCTCACTAGCTTTTTCTAAATTCATCACTCCAACCCCTAGCTTTTCCTTGGAGCTTGCCACAATGTCCCAGTCTCTTCCCCACACTCTTTGTTCTGTGGTCTTTGTACTCAGACTTGGTAAACAATCTTCATTGTCATTTGAATCCTAATCCCCAGAATTTTCCTGGCCTCTCTCCCCCACACACACACTTTTTCCCTTTGGAAAGGAATCATCCAGCGATGAACTGAGGAACTAGCTCACAGTTCCTTCTCTTGGGAGGCCTTACTTTTACCTTCATCTGTCTGTTAGGAAGTCTCCAAGAAAGGCCCAGGAAGAGGGTAGGCACTATATATAAGACAAGCAGGATGACCGAACAAGGAGGACTCTGAGATTGCTTCTCCTATTGCCTTGAAAGTGCTGACTGGCCTTCTTCAACCACTCCCCATGTCCCAACCCCCACCCCCACACTCACCAGTGTGTATAGACATGGGCAGAGGATAACTAGGCTCCACCCTAAACTGGAGCTCACTGAGAGTCACCAGCTACTGGAGCTTTATCTCTGCTCTCCTTTCTCCTGGACTTCTGAGCCTGGCAGTCCCTTCCTGGCTCAGCTGAATCTAGGCTTCTCCTATCCAATGTCCAGAACTTACAGGGTTCATTAGACTACAAACTCATCAAGGGCAGGTGACACACCTTGCTCCTCTCTCACACCCCTGCCCCCACCTCCACCATGCATCTCCAGCCCCTGGTGTCTGGCACAGAACATGAGTGGCATAAAACAGGGATCTGGGGTAAAGGAATGAATGTCCTTTTCGCCTGGCCAAAGTCTTGGTGCCTGGCCCTTCATGGCTTTCTTGCTCCACTGCAGCAAGAAGAGGCATTTGACAGTCTGCAAAACTATTCCTGCATTACTCACATTAAAGTTTAAATACCTAAATGCTGTCTCTCTGTAGAAGCCAGAAACCCATTGAGACGGATGATTTGAGGTTTCCCTACCAAAAACTGCAGAGGCTTGCTCTTGCTTCCCCAGACTTACTGTTGTTAACAGATCTGGTGACAAGATGGGATTCTTCTGTCATAAGATGCCTCTGATGAAGAATTTTCAAAAATCACCAGGTGATGAAGGCAGTAGCCTGGGACCAAATAGGGAATCTTATAGAGCTTTTTTTTTTTTTCCACATCTCCATATTCTAGGTTGTCT